ATTTCTTATCTACATTTTGTTCAGTCTTTATCTGGAGTTTTGATTTGTTCTTTGGGAAATGTTTCTTTGTATCCTCATTTTGGCAGCCTCCCTGTGTTTTTTTCTATGTACTAGGTAGAGCTACTTTGACTCCGTGTCTTGGTAGTATGGCCTAATGTAGTAGGTGTCTTGTAGGGTCCAGTGGCACAGCCTCCCCTATCACTCAAGCTGGATGCTCAAGGTAGGCCTTTCATGTGGGCTGAGTACACCCTCCTTTGGTCATTGAACCCTGGTTGCTGTTGGCAGGTCAATGGGAGGGACTTACCCAGGCCAGTCAGCTGTAAGGACAGGCTGTGACCACTGACCACCAACCTCCGCTCTGCGTGGAGGATCAGCTGTGTAGGACCAGGTCTGATGTGGTCTGCAGCTGTCCACTGGGTGTGCTGGCTCTGAGATTACCCAGGTGGTGCAGGCCAAGGTCAGCCACTACCTGCGTTTTGCCTGTGGCTACCCTACTTGAGCTATAAAGCAATCCTTGACAATTCCCAGAAGAAGCCAAGCTGTGAATCTAGGCTGGCTACCGCTAGTGCCAGTTCTGGTGACACTTAGCAAGAGGTACTGGATCTAGGGGCTTCCTGAAGGGATCTTACTTGTTTGAGAGAATTTGGGAAGTTGTGAAGGATGAGCTAACACCTGCCATTCATATGGAAAAACAGCTTGGTGGACCCACCCCACCAAGGGAAGTTGGATGGGACTGGGTCTCTGGGGATCTCCTGAGTGGGGCAGACAGTGTTACCCAGGTTGATGGCATCTCAGATATGGTGCCCACCTGCCAGCTCTGTGGCTCTGTGTAGGAGGGTTTCCAAAGGGGACAATAGCCTGTACCTGCATTTCTCTCTGGCAGAAAGCTGTCCCCTAGTTCTCACCTTAATGTCAGACACTTCAGTTCTCCTTGTGTGCCAGTGGTGCCTTTCAAGCCACTACCCTGGTGCTGGTGCAAAGAGGGAGTGAGTCTGAGTAAGTCGGTCTGTGGGTTCTTAAAGGGAACTGCTTAGGACTCCAGAAGTTTCTACCACCGACTCAATCCCTGCTAGTTGTTGCAGCCAGAAGTTATGAGAACTTGTCTTCCTGGCACTGGAACCCAGGGCTGGGGTTCCTAGTCTGGAAGTGGAACTGCTCACTCCTGAGATATCCCTCCCAAGTTTTTATCCATCCCGGGTAGATGTAGGACAAGCCCATTCTACATTTCTGCCCCTATTTCCAGTCCGTATGGCTGTGGTTCTTTAATTCCATAGTTTTTAGTCTTCTGTTCTGAGTGATGGTTGTTCTATGGTTGAGTTGTAATTTTGATGTGGTTATGTAAGGAGGCAAGCTGTGTTTAGGTGGGCTGTTACCTTTACTGGAAGTTTATCACTGGCTAACTCTTGATTTTCTTTTTAAAGCCCTTGAAGCTTGAGTGTGATATTTTGAATTCAAGAAAACCAATGGATATATAAAATTAAATTATAGAAAAATTGATGTATAATTAAGAATTTTTCCCCAAACATCCTGAATATCTGTCATCTCAAAGGATATTGATGAATTCTTAAAAGATGTCACAAATAACTGTTCATAAAAGACTGTATCTCCAAAATCACTTGTAATTTTTTATATAAAGGTTATTATAAACTATATACATGCTACTATTCACCATGAAGATTAATAGAAAACTTTTATCTTAGCTGATATAGCTTACCTAATAAGTTTGGTTGTGTGACAATTTTTACAATGCAGAATCACTTGAAAACATTTTTAAATAACTTAGATATAGTCTAATGTCTGAATGTGGGCACACATGTGTGCTTATGAGTTTATTTAACATAACGTGACACATTTTGGCATGTGGTTAGTTATATAAGTTTAATGAAAAATACAGCCACATGAAAGAGTGGGGGATGAGTCAGTGGGCTCCACCATTTAATCCTGTGCCCATCTTACTGTCTGTTTTTGAATTAAGGACTGTATGTGTTTACTGAATTGGTTAATCAACAATAGAAAATTTAGAAGCAACTTTACTATTTCTTTTGTATTTTCCTTCACTTCAACTAGATGATGAGCTCCTTGAATGGGAACGCCTCTTAATTCAATTTTTTGTATCTTATGTCTGATACATTTTAAGTGCTCAACAAATATTGATTGAGAGAGAGAGAAAGAGAGAGAGGGATTGACTGAGATCGAGGTTGGGATTGATTGACTTGTTGTTCCACTTATTTATGCATTCATTGGTTGATTCTTGTATGTTTCCTGACCAGGGATCATATCCACATCCTTGGTGTGTTGGGGTGACACTCTAACCACCTAAGCTATCTGGCCAGGACCTCAATAAGTATTTTTTGATTGTCCCATTTTTCTGAAATTTCCTGTATCCCATCTTTTGGACTTTTTTAATGTCTTTTTCCCCCTTTACTTCTCTTAACTACTTTAGAAATCTCATCCTTTTTTGTTCTATTTGAATATCCCTCCCTTTAGTCCATTAGGTGGGTGGGTCTTCCTAACCCCCAGAAACTCCTTGATGCTGTGTATCAGGATGTGCACACGTTTGTGCGGACAGCACCCAGCACAGTGCTGTGTGCATGAGTGGTGGTTGTTCAGTTAAACATAATTATGTATGAAGATATATATGTTAGGAAGTGTTTTTTAATGAATACTTTTATTTACAATGCTATAATAAATCCTATGATTTTAATTGGGAGTATAACCATAAGAATACCCTTTGTAATTAGGGGAAAAGTAAAACTATGGATCCAAATGTACAAAGTTATCCTTCTATAGAATTATTGAAATATAGTATATATGTATTTTTACCCATTTAAACATAAAGTGTACACATAATTTTATTATTGTGAACAAGAACGTAAATTCATGTGTTTCTTTTTCAGATTATTTTCTTTTTCTTTTTTTTTTTTTTGTTCTTAAAGGAAGAGTTTTGAGCCATATGTTAGCCTGGAACATACAGTGCAGTCTGCACCACCCACAGTTTGATCAGGAAGACTACCATGTCCCCAGATTGCTTTTCTTTAAAATGAATATTAACCTTAGATATGCTAGGAAAACATTTTCTATCATCCCTCCCTGTCCCTGCAAATTGAGAGAACTGTATTACCTCAGTGTATCTAGGAGTTATGTAATTATGTGTTCTATTAAAGCACCCTGAAAAGTGGAATGTTACTGATTGACTTAATGGTAAGACTGGATCAGGTAAAAGTGAATTGCCAACAATGTCCCAGATAAAATCACTATTAGGACAATATCAAATGATCTACTGGTAATTTTGTTTGAAGAAACACTTAAGAGTGAATGGCATTATATAATTTAAAGAAAGAAAAACACCGTGCATGTTGCAGTAGTATTTGTGAGGAGGTAAGTCATAGTTAACGATGCTGAGAGGTGCCGAGGTTTTGCTGGGAGGGTCGGAGGGGTCCGTTTGGACAGAACATCTGTCTTGTCTCTGCTGTCACCCCACTGGGCTCTCTCTGAACTAAGTCTGATCTAACCATGGACCAATGGCTTAAAACAACATAGAAATTACATTGTTACTTAAGGTGCAAAATAAGTCTACCTGCTATAGAAGAAAAGCTTAAAAGCAATCATTTAAAAAAAGGTTTTTTAAACTGCTGATTTCAATGCCATGAATTCCATGTTTTAATCCCTCCCCTTCCATTTTCTCTCCTTCCCTCAAGAAAGTAATGTAATGGCTTTCAGTTGTGCCTCTACACACAAAATGTTTCTATATTTCTTTTGTAGTTCAACCAGTCAGACTACTCTGTAGGTGTTGAGTAGGAGGTGCGGTTAGGTCTGGGAGCCAGTACAGATTCTTTCTTTTATCACCATCCTTTACACTGATGCCATCAAAGTGTACTAAAGGCAGCTGCAGTTTGGTCCATGGCTCTGGTTAGAGTAGTATCCACCTTGCTTACTTTAAAGTGGGTAGATTTGCCTTGGTAGGAATAACTCAGATGTGCTAAGTATAATACTTATTTCAAACAGGATGGATCAGTTGACAATTTTCTGTTTCAGAATTTACTTTCTAAAGACATTGTAGAATAGACTGCCTTAGTGACTATTTATCTGAAATTAAACTTGGCGTATGCATTACCAGTATCTACCTCTGAAAAACAAAATAGTTGTCTTTAGAAGCTTACTGATGATATATTGGGCAAAATATTTCATATTGCTTTTCATTATTTGATACGTATTAGATTTCATTTGATTTGGTAGAATTTTTATTTAGTAAAATTTGATTGTAATAAATTTGCTCTTTGTGAACCTTGAAATTATTGAGTATTTTGTTTTACTGTAATTATTATAATAAAGTTCTGAGAAATTTCAGATCCATTCTTAATCTGACTCTTGCTTATGATGGTTTGTGGAACTGCCAACTTTTAAGGGTCATTGGGATCTGAGGGTTTAACTACTTTTTAGCCCTGTGTGGATTAATAAAGTCTTCTGTGCATTTTTCTTCACCTATAAAATTGATGTAGTAATAGGTACCTACATGGTAGGGATGCTGGAAGAATTAAATAAGTTAATACTTATAAAATATTTAGACAAGAGCCTGGAGCTTAAGAAGTAGTCAGTAAATGTTAGCTACCATAATAATTATTAATTTTTATATTTTGTAGAGATTGAAACATTCTTACATATAGTTGATGGATTGGTTTAACAAATTTTATTCAACTGAAATTCAAGATCTATTTTTTCATGTCCACATATTAGAAGGGAACTAATTCACTTAACTAATTAAGGGGATATTTACTAAATTCATGCATTGGAATATATGAGGCATTCTGGAGAATACAAGATGATTTCCCTCAAGAAACTTTTACTCAAAACACTTAATATAAGATAAGGAGAAATGCTACATGAGTAAATGGCTAGAGTATATCAGATGCGGTGTGGAAAACTGGCCTATTTGAACTCAGTGAATCTCACACTTGGCAAAAAATTGTATGAAAAGCACGTGTTTTGTTTTTCTTGAGCAGGTTTTTGCATGTTTGTGCTAAGCTTGATGAAGAAACATTATCGACTACAGTTTTATATGGTATGTATTAATCATTATTCTGTAGGTATCCTAGAAACACTTAATTTTACTTTTTTTCTGTAGTAAGAAGATAAAAATGTAACCTGTTTGCTGATGCCCAAATATGAGGGATATTTCAAATTTTGGATGACTATTAGGTATAAAGTGTTAAAGATGAAACATTTGTGAGAATTTTAAAAGTTTAACTGTTTTCAAAGTTTCCTTAAAGCTTTAAAAAAATATTTTTAAAGGCTATAAAATTAAAGCCAAGTATTTGGATTCCCTAAGTTTGTAGAAATTTAGGGATCCAGAGATTCCTAAATAGTAGGTCCAGAAAGCATTTATTTCTCGCTATGGGAGATAACTGTGCTTGACTTACTTTCAGTTGACTGCAACAAGGAACTAAGCATTTATAATCTTAGTAGCTATGGGTAGCCATAAAACTGAGTAATTCTTTTTGGCCTAAGGTATTTTATCCAGTTTATCATGGAACAGTATTCAATGTTTTGTGAAATTTATCATGTGTATGATGAACTTCTCTTATTTCCTTAAAAGATAGCTAGTTAAAAGACTAAAATGAAAAATATAGCATTTAGATGTGAATTCATGTATTAATAAGGCTTGTTTTGGTTTTGGTGTATATTTTCTATTCATTATGCTTTGCTTTTCTCCATTAAGATTTCCTGCTGAGCATCAGTGTTGAGAAATTATAATGTGTCTTACCTTTCTAATTTCTGGAGATCTTGAGAGAAAAAAAGTAAAATGATTTCAATGAGAAACCATTGGTTTCTCATGGTTTTCAATGAGAAATCTAGCAACCATCAAGACAAATTAGAAATAATAATATCTCCTATGAAAATGGAAATGGTGCCTGTTGGAAAAATATCATTTTTGCATTTTTAAGCAACTGGGGTAAAAGAGAATTGGATCCTTTAAGCAGATAAATAAACTAAAACACCAATGTAACATAGTATTTCCTGAAATAAAAAAAATAGGTTTATTTCAAAAAGTCATTTTATAAATTTCAAACTTATGACACTAATACAGAGAAATGTTAGGTTTTTAAATTCACATTCTACTCATACCTGTGATGCTAAAAGTCACTGAAATGGCATCTCTCGGGCTAGATGAAATTGAAGCACAGAGGGCTTTCAAAGTTTGAAATTGCACCATTGAACAGAGCTGTGAAGATCAGCCTTTAAGTATCAAAAGATGGAGTTTAAGGAGAGTTGATCTCTGCTCATTTGAATCATTTGAGTTTAGAAATAACTCTTTATGGGAAGAAGTTACCATACCATAATGAATTTGGAAAGAAAAATTGAGTTTTGCATTTTTAATAACTACAGAATACAGCCAGAGTAAAATGTGCTTCTCTAAATGCCATAACAGCACCAGAGATTTCTCATTATCATTTTAATATGATGGTTCAGGATTATAGTTTATCTTTATATGTTTTTAAGTTTATCTCAGTGTTATAAGTATTCCATTTGTATATAAATTAAGATTACTTTTAAAAATGTTTTCATGGTTTTAAGGTCCAGTAGGCACCAAAATGAATATAATTTGCTAACAGCATCTATTTTGTATGACCTTATCTTACAAATTTAACCAAAAATCATACTAGAAATTAATGTTCAAAAATAGTTTTTGCTTCTGGAGCTACACTGATCAATCGTGTTCACTAACTGTTGTGTTGTTGGGCTATTAACAGTTCGCATGGACTCATGTCACTTTACTGATAACAGTCACTCAGTCACATCTTGTCATCCAAAATCTGTTTGAAGGCATGATATGGTAAGGGGACGGAATTGTGCTGCTTTATATTTATGTCATAGCATTTTTAAGGCTCTTTTGCATTGAACAGTGTCATAAAGATTTCTACTAAAATGTGCTATTTATTGTTGTTCTATTCCATTAAAATTCCTTACTAAGCTTTGTTCATTTCAGTGTTTGACATTCAAAGACAAATGTGTAGTTAACTGGGAATACTCCTTATCAGGTTTCAAATAAAATGAAGAATTTCCTTATAAACATTGTAAACAATTAATTACATTTTCAGGTTTTACTACATTTTAATGTGACTTTTTTTTACAAAGTATAGCTTATAAAAGAGCATATTATTTATGTAGAATGCAGAAAGAACGTGAAAGTTTGCTTGCCAATAGTGTGCTGGCAATGCATTTTCTCTAGGTGAAAGCTGGGTAGGTTCTCCTCGGCCGGTAGGAGTAGCTGTTCAGATTTCAGATGCGTGGAGGTACTTGCTATATAGCAGTAGCTTGCAGATTCAGAAAGCATTTCTGTAAGTTAAAAATTTGTTTAAAATTGTAAAAATTATTATTAGTTAAAAATTAGAGAAGAGAGAAATGATTTTAAGAAATCTGGCCATATTTTCCCCACATTAAAAAAAAGACATTAATTAAAACTCTTTACAAGTAGTTTTGTAAAAGTAAATTGTTTCCTTACAGCTTCGTGATCTTTAGCCAAGGGTGTGTGTGTGTTTGTGTGTATACACACTTGTAATCAATGGGTGGAAGTTACAAGATTTGTGGATTCTATATAATTAGTAGGGTTTAATGCAACAAAAGACTAAGGTAGAATTTAAATTTTTCCTGAAATAGAATTTGTATTAAGAACTTGGTATTAATTTTTCAGATTATACTCTAAATCAAATGACTCATTTCCATTTTGAAAGGCTGCTTTTAAAAAATTCTTTGTACTATATAACTTGGTCTTCATAAAACTGAAATTTAAAAGCCCATTGCTATAGAAATTAATTATTTAATATTAAAATTAGGTTGACTAGTATCTTCCATAGTAGTATTCTTCTACTATGTTTATAGATTTTGCTCTGCTTCAGTGCTAAATGGGCAAATTTGGTTGATATTTGATGTTTTTAGTAATGCTTTGGCAAGTGTTACATTCCGAACTAGTGTGTAGTGTAACTCAAAAGGTTATTGGGCTGGTTCATTGGGAATCAGAAACTGTATATCTATTTATTTGCTACTTAATCAGATTAACTTTTCTGACTCTTTTTAGGTTCCTTGTCCCAATATCAAGTGTTATCTGCAACGACATAACTGCTTATCTTTTTGGATTTTTTTTTGGGAGAACTCCATTAATTAAGGTAATTAAAAAATATCTGAAGCAAGCCCCTGCTTTAACCATAAAGATTGACCACAGGAGAGAATTTCCAAGTTGGAGCTATTGCTCCTTTTCTGTTTCCAGGGGGCTGGGATTTCCCTGAGCTCTGATCAGCAGTAAGAGGGCAGGGCCACATTTCCCATGCTGTCGTCTGGGTTCTCCTGTAAGCTTTCTGTTGTGGGCTCAACACCATCAGTTACTGTCTGCCGTGAAGGCCAGTGCCTCTTTCCACGGGTTTCTTCCTTCAGCTGTTGGTGGTTCTCCAGAAAAGCCTTTCTTTGACTCTGCTCCCCCTCAGCTCTCTCATCCATCCCATCCTTTACTGAACGTTTTGAAAGTGTACAATACACCATCTCTACCTATTCATGTCCATTTGTAAGACTTTTATACCCAAACTTACTTCAAAAAAAATTGAGGTGCTACAACAAAATATTGGCAACATAAGTAATAAGGAAAAGTACACGTGAGCAGACCACATCATTTTGCTTTAGATTTATGTGGTTCTTTTGACAGGAGGCAAAGAAGGAAATGAATTAAGTTATCAGTTCTCATTTTGGGGGAGAAAGAAACAAACCAGTTCTTTAAAACCCTTTCACAAATTCTTCACCACAGAGCAGCCCAGCACATGGCCTCAGGCTGAGCACTAGGGGCACAAGGAAACTATTTTCTCAAGTTTCTCACACTGATTCAGCACAAGAGCCAGTGATTCAAGACTTCTACACCAGCTGAGCAGAGTTTGTCTCAGGAAGCCTTTGGAGAGGCTGTTAAAGCTGTAGAAGACTCTCATTGTCTGACTTTGAACATAGATTTCTAGTGAATTTACAAGGCTGGATTAGATGCATTATATATTCTGATGTAATTAAGTAAGTTCACCCCTAAATCAATATGCTATGGAACAAGTTAGTTTCAAAAACTATCTTTAAAATATTCAGCAGGCGCTTCTGAATTTCAGTGAACACTCAGTTCATGACAATAATACTGAATTGTCTTAGGAGAAGGCGTATGCCATCCCTTTGGTATGTCAGGATGTCAGGAAACCATTTCTGCCAACCCTCTTGATGTTGAGCTTTAGGAACATCACAAGAGGTCTATAAAGAGCTCATGTAGCTCAGCTATTACCCTTTTCTATTTGCAGAAACTTACCTGGCATATTCATTTGGCTTCTGCCACTGTTGTTCCACTGAAAGGTTCATCACAGGAGCTGTCAATGATCTGATGACCAGCTGCCTGTGCACCACTGCTTAGGCTTTTCAGGGCGTCCAAGGCAGTTACACTGCCTTCTCCTCCATGTTTCCCTCCTGCCCCTGCCATCACCAAGTTTCAGGCTTCCCTCCAGATTTCTCTGCCTGAAAGCCTCATTGACTGAGAAACAGTTGGTCTGATCTGAAACTAACAGTCTCTATTCTTAGAAATACAACATTTTATTTCTTCATGGAGACATAGATGTGACCAAAGGAAGGGTATCCAAATACTTGGGGAGCAAATTCTGTATCTGGGCCTGTGGACCATTTTGCCATTCCAGAAGTTATCCACATGGCCTTAGGAGTGCATGGAAATCTGTGTGCTGCAATGTCTATGTTTATTTATCTTCATTCTATTTTTGCTATATGTCTAATGTTTGAGGGCCTACTGTGTGTTATGCACTACTAGAGAAACTTACAAATAAATTGGCATCATGGAAGGAGGGAAAAGGGTTGCAAAACCATTCCAAGGAGAAAAAAGCAGAGATGTACAAGGTACTATGAGAAGTCATTGAACAGAGCTTGCCATAAGGATTGTGTGTTTTGTGAATGCAGTAATTCTTTTTTAATTTTATTTGCCTTTTCTAGTTGTCTCCTAAAAAGACTTGGGAAGGATTTATTGGTGGTTTCTTCTCCACAGTCGTGTTTGGATTCATTGTGAGTTTGACTAAGATTTTTATTGTATTTACATTTTGAAAAATGTTCGCAAGTTTATCAGTCTGTCGTAAACCTGAAAGAATTAAATCACAAAATGCTAACAATGTATTTATTGAAACCCACTACACAGTCTCTATTCTGTACCCCACTCACTCTCCGAATCAGAAGCACCTGGGGAGTTTAGTCACTAGCTCTCTCCCAGCCCTGGCCCAGGTCAGTCAACTCCCCCAGGTGGTTCTAATGTACCACTAGGCCCGAGACCCTCTGCAGTACTGTTGGGTTTTGGCAGTTTTGAGCAGCTGTTCCTTCTTGTGGGGGGCACAGGTGCTGGGCCAGGTGGTAGCCTTGAGTAAAAGCAGAGAATACAAATGATGGCGAAGAGCTATACCTCCTTTACACCTGGTGCTACTGACTTAGCAAGTGTTTCCTGCTGTGAGTCCAACATGCAGGAGAATTGTTTAAAAATAATTGATACTCACTTTTAGCCATGAATAATAGGTCTTGTTAATATTTTAAAAATTAGTTTATAGATATGGTGTATAGGTTTTTGTTAAAAGGCATCTTATAAGACTCAAAAAGTAAAATGACTGGATATAAGATAAATATATATTTAAAAATTACTGTTAGGAAGTTTACATTTTTAAGAGTATAGTCCCTGACAGTTCTAGAATATATTCCATAGCCAAATATACAGTAACTCAAAACAACATGGAGCTTTGAGAGAGAGCAATTATGAGTAAATGAAAATGTATCAGGTTCCTGGATGGGAAACTGTCATAACTTCTCTTTTTAATTTGCTAATTTAGTTCATTCTCAATGAAAGTTCCAATAGGTTTTGATAAAATTAATCAGTGTTTTATGTTGTAAAATATTGATGAGGTAATATGTTTATACATTACAAAGCAGGGATAATTAGAACATCATGAAGTTAAATAATACTACAAGAACTTGGTATTATTGAAGACTAACTTAGAAATACCACAAGAATAGCCATATCATTGGAAAAAGATAAATAGCTTCCCTGTAAGAATGTAGTACATGACAAAAATATGAGGAAGAACATGATATATTTTTTAATAAATAATTTTGAGGAAACTGGTTAGAAGCAAAAATCAGTTTATTACCATTCCTTGTGTCAGTTTGCACTTCTGTTAACCATTCTTGAGCAATATAATGGGGTGAATGGCTATAAAAGAAGAGAGAATAGACTGTTGTCTAACAATTTAAATTTAAAATAACATTTTGATTTATGTATTTTCTTCCACGGCTAAGAACAGCTACATTAAAAAGTGCAGTGATGTGGTCAGGAAAAGAATAAAGTTTAGTCAGAGTTTTCTGGGTTAGGTAAGAACAATGGTGTAAGAACTTCAGTCCTGTACTCTCCCAGACCTTAATAATTGGTAGCTTCTACCAACCTTAATGATGTGTGCTTTAGAAAAGTCAAATCCTGCTGTAATCCTTGTTTGAATGTTTAAATCAGCTTCTTTTTCTCTTTCCCACTTTTTGTTATGCTCACACAGAGATAATCTCATTGATTTCCAAAATGCCTTTGGTTTTCCAATGACTTTTCAAAGTCTTTTATTGGATCAGGTTTCACTGTTGAACTTTAAGAATACATAGCAGAATGTGAATGCAGAGAAACTTTGGCATCTATTTCTGGCCTTTGTGTTGATGCAAAACACACACACACATACACACACGCACATACACGTCATTTTCATTTAATGTTTCATGAGCTCTTGCTTTGTTATTCAGGCCGCCTATGTGTTATCCAAATACCAGTACTTTGTCTGTCCAGTGGAATACCGAAGTGATGTAAACTCCTTCGTTACAGATTGTGAACCTTCAGAACTTTTTCAGCTTCGTAGTTATTCACTTCCTCCCTTTCTGAAGTCAGTGTTGAGACAGGTAAGATAAATATGGGTATGGATCCTCTATCCCCAAAATTAATATTTTTTATAAGAAATTGACTTCTGTAGAATTTTTAATTATATGATACATAAGTGATTTCACTGTCTGCTTAGCATCAGTAATATATTCTAGCACTTTGTAATTTCCCTTTCTTGAACATAAAATGAATATTACTGTCATAAACCTATTGTTTATTAAGAATTTACTTGCCTAATGGTTTGAATACTGATGATAATTTATCTTGTATTTTTTATGAAAATATTTAAAAATATTTCTTAGATCTTTACAACTTGAATGAATTACAGTAAGTTTCATATGTAACTGGCAAGAATTGACTCAATTTAAAAATTAAAATTCCGGCTAACAGAGAGGCATATTGTGCCTCCTTGCACAAGCAAAAGAAAGACAACAACAAATTTATTTATTTTTTATTATTATTAATTTTTATTTAGTTATTTTTCAAGTACATTTTTTTGTCTGTTTCTCCCATCCGAGCCCCCTAGTCCTGTGCTCCCCACCTCCCTCTCATCTCCACCCCCCCAGCTCTCGTTCCTGCATCCTTCATATTTGTTCCTCCAAATCCCTCCCCCCTTCCCCTTTAAATTCCCTTCCCTCTCCCCTCTGGTCACTGTCCCTTTGTTCTCTATTTCAGTGTCTTTGTTTTTATTTTGCTTGCTTGTTTGTTTTGTTGTTTAGCTTCCTGTTAAAGGTGAGATCATATGGTATTTGTCTTTCAATCCCTGGCCTATTTCACTCAGCATAATGCTTTCCAGTTCGATCCATGTTGTTGCAAAGGGTAGTAGCTCCTTCTTTCTCTCTGCTGCATAGAATTTCATTATATATTTTTGATCCATTCATTTACTGATGGGCACCTAGGTTGCTTCCAACTCTTGGCTATTGTAAATTGTGCTGCTATGAACATTGTGGTGCATAGGTTCTTTGAAATTGATGTTTTATGATTCTTAGGATATAATCCTAGCAGTGGAATTGCTGGGTCAAAAGGCAGGTCGATTTTTATTTTTCTGAGAAAATTCCATACTGTTTTCCATAATGGTTGTACCAGTCTGCAATCCCACCAACAGTGAACTAAGGACCCCTTTTCTCCACAACCTCTCCAACATTTGGACAACAACAAATTTAAAAGCAAAAAACAACCAGAACTGACAGAAAATTGAACTGTATGGAAGTCTGACAACCAAGGAGTTAAAGAAGATACATTCATCCAGATTTGTAAGAGGGGCAGAGACAGGCAGTGGGGGGAGAGGACTCTTGGCAAGGCTGGTGGAGTGGGTGGTCCCACTTTCATGTGCAGATAAACTAGGAGGAACAACTGGGGAGTGAGACAGACTGCACAGCGCAGGGCTCCAACACATGGGAATAAAGCCTCGAGCCTCTGATTAAAAAAAAACCTGTGCGGGTTGAGGTGGCAGTGGGAGAAACTCCCAGCCTCCCAGGTGAGTTCCTGGGAGAGACCCACAGGGTCCTAAAATGTACACAAGCCTACCTACCCGGGAATGAGCACCAGAAGAGCCCAATTTGAATGTGGGTAGCAGTGGAAGTGACTGAAAACCAGCAGAGAGCTGAGCAAGGGCCATTTTCCCACTTGGACCCCTTCTACACATGCAGCATCACAACTTAGCAATGTGGATTGCCACACCCTGATGAACACCTAAGGCTCTGCCCCTTACCTATGTAACAGGCAGGCCAAGACAAAAAAAAAAAATGGCTCAAATGAAAGAACAGATCAAAGCTCCAGAACAAATGCAACTAAGTGATGAAGAGACAGCCAACCTATCAGATACACAGTTCAAAACACTGGTAATCAGGATGCTCACAGAATTGGTTGAATATGGTCACAAATTAGATGAAAAAAATGAAGGCTATGCTAAGTGAAATAAGTGAAAATGTACAGGGAACCCACAGTGAAGGGAGGGAAACCAGGATCAAATCAATGGTTTAGACCAGAAGGAGGACAGAAACATTCAACCAGAACAGAATGAAGAAAGAATTCAAAAAATGAGAGGCTGAGGAACCTCCAGGACATCTTTAAATGTTCCATAGAGGTGCCAGAAAGAGAAGAGAAAAAGCAAGAAAGTGAAAACTTATTTGAAAACACAATGAAGGAGAACTTCCCCAATCTGGCAAAGGAAATAGACTTCCGGGAAGTCCAGGAAACTCAGAGAGTCCCAAAGAAGTTGGACCCAAGAAAGCCCACACTAAGGCACATCATAATTCATTACCCAAGATGAAAGATGAGGAGACAATCTTAAAAGCAGCAAGAGAAAAAGAGACAGTTACCTACAAAGGAGTTCCCATAAGACTCTCAGCTGATTACTCAAAAGAGAACTTGCAGGTAAGAAGGGTCTGGAAAGAAGTATTTGAAGTCATGAAAGGCAAGGACCTATCCAGCAAAGCTATCATTTAGAGTGGAAGGGCAGATAAAGTGCTTCCCAGGTAAGGTCAAGTTAAAGGAGTTCATCATCACCAAGTCCTTATTATATGAAATGTTAAAGGGACTTATCTAAGAAAAAGAAGATAAAATATATGAACGGTCAAATGACAACAAACTTACAGTTATTAACAACCAAACTTAAAACAAAACCAAAAACAAACTAAGCAAACTAGAGTAGGAACAGAATCACAGAAATGGAGATATCATGGAGGATTATCAGTGGGGGAGGAGGTGGGGAGAGAGAAGGAAAAGGTGCAGAAAATAAGTAGCATAGATGGTAGGTAGAAGATAGACGGGGAGGTTTAGAATAGTATAGGAACTGTAGACGCCAAAGACCTTATATATATGACCCATGGACATGAACTAAAGGGAGGGAATGTGAGCAGGAAGGGATGCACAAGGTGGAGGGGAATAAAGGGGGGAAAAGGGGCAACTGTAATGGCATAATCAATAAAATATATTTTTAAAAATTAATTAAAATTTATCCACTTAAAAATTCCTTGATTTTCTTTTTTAGGGAACCTTTACTAGAACAAAAGCTACTGCTTCTAAATATCAGTTTTCCATGTAAAGGGATTAAACAAAACAAACAAAAAAACAGAACTCATAAATGCACACAACAGTGTGGTGATTACAGGAGGGAAAGCGGGTGGAGAGGTAGAAGAGGGTAAAGGGCGGACAAATGGTGATAGAGGGAGACTTGACTTGGGGTGGTGAACACACAGTACATTATACAGATGATGTATTATAGAACTGTGGACCTGAAAGCTATATAACATTTTTAACCAATGTCACCCCAATAAATTCAATTAAAAAATCATTTGCCCTTCTAAAAGCACACTGGTGCCATTTGAAGGCAACCTTGATGTCTCTCACTAAGGATGGCAACATGCTGACCTGCGGAGCCCTGCTGAGGGATGCCGTCAAGACCAGAGGACACTTACTGAGAATGAGGAAGCAGATGATGGTCTCTACACATGGGTACATGTGTGTATCTGAAACATCTTAAGTCCATAACTTTTGAGGTTAACCAAAAAGTTTTTCTCTCCTTGAGTACTCAATACATGGATTCCAAGAATTTTCTTTCAATATCCAAGCCATCTGCTATCTGCTATAAAACTTGATAGTACCCGTCTTTGATTAGGTTTGGAAACAGGTCCAAAGATCGGTGTTCTCAATAATGGTTATAAAACCACACCTGCTGTGCACTGTCTACACTTTCTAATTTCAGTGTATTTAAAGTGGATCAAGAAAAGAAAAGTAGAGCAAGAACCAAGAATTTAGAAAACAATTGCAGAATTCTCAGTTTTTATGATCTCCGTAAGTCTTTTATAATTGTCTTATGGATGCACATTTTGGTGTGCTTTTAAAAGCAACTAATTTGCCAACTTATTTTCATGTGTTTCCACAGCACTTAGTATTACGAGAAAGACCAACTTTCCCCTCACTTTGTTGTATAAAACTAAAGTAAAATAAAATACAAAATTTAATGTATTATTTAATTACAAAAACAAAGTGCTGCTGGTAAACAAACTCCGAAATTGACTCAACTGATTCTTGGTAAGTCTACAATTCAAGTGCTATAGAAATTGTGGGTCAACTGCAAAGTAGCTGGTCGGCTGCAGGCTTTTCACGTGCCAGGCACTGTGAACACGTGGGGGAACGCAGTGCGCTGGCTGCAGGGAGAGTGACTGTGAGAGCTCCTACTGTGTTTTTTTCTCCCATGATCCTGAAAAGTTGTGAAAGTAACGAAAATGTGGTAAACACGCCAACGTACTGTTCATATCATGGTTTCTGGTGTAGGTGGCATACTCAAGCAAATCTTAATGCAGTTAGCCCCAAGCCCTCCCCTCTTTTGTCCTCCTTTAGGAAACAGTGAGCTTGTACCCCTTCCAGATCCATAGCATCGCTTTTTCAACATTTGCATCTTTGATTGGTCCATTTGGAGGCTTCTTTGCCAGCGGATTCAAAAGAGCTTTCAAAATCAAGGTATATTCTTTGTTACATCATTAAAGAATATAATTAGATAACGCAATATAGTTAGAATTTGGTTCTCTATTGGTTTCACACATTAAGCCTCTGGGCAAAAACCATTAGTCTCAGCCTCACAGAAATGCTTCCTGGTTGATTTGAGTGTATTCTTTCTCGTTAGGTTTTGGTCAAGCCATGTCATGTCAACCTCTTTTATAGAAATAGCAAAATGGCATGTGTTACTGAATGTTGGCACAGGCACACGGTCTTGGTCCTTCAGTGCTCATCCAAGAATACAACCAGGAATTGTCTGAAGATTAGTTTCCTGCCAATCTCACTTCAAGGGACAGACAGGGGCACCTTTGACTAAGTAGTCTTCCATCTTCCTAGATCAGGGGCCAGCAAACTTTTTTTTTATAAAATTACATTTATTAATCATATCTTAACTACTCAACTCTGAGCTCTGCCATTGTTGCATGAAAGCCTGGCAGACAATATGTCAATGAGTAAGCATATTATTTACTTTGTAAATGGTTAATTTATTTGTAAATAAATTTATTTATTTGTTTACTTATTAATTTTATTTGTAAATAAAATTAACTTTATTTACAAAAACGGGCAGCAGACTTAATTTTATCTGTAGGACATGGTTTGCTGACCCCTGTCCCAGATACTTGAGATCACCCCTGTGTTCATCCTGGCTGGTGGGGCTGTGTGGGTCGAGTGGTGGCCTGTGAACTGAAAAGTTGCTGTTTTGATTCCTGGTCAGGGCACATGCCTGTGTTGTGGGTCAGCTCCCCATTTGGGGGTGTGCAAGAGGCAGCTGATCCATGTTTCTCTCATACATCATTGCTGTTTCTCTCCCTTTCTTTCTCCTTCCCTTCCTCTCTCTCTAGAAATGAGTAAAATCTTTAAAAATTAATATTACCCCTATGTTTTAAGTTAGATTCTCATAAAATGACACATATTTACCCTATTATCTCAGCTTTCCTCATGTGACTCTTCTAAGTTAAGATTTGGTGTTGTACCATTAGAAGTGAGAGAGGGCAGGCCTGTCTGAGGTGGCATTCGAGCAGAGATCTGAGAAAAGGAGAATGAGTCCTGCAGAGAAATTTAAGGAACAGCATTCCAGTGAGTGCAAAGGCACAGAGGAACTAAGTTGCATGTTGAAAAGAGTAAGAACAGTGGGGCCGATCAGACTGCAGAGGTTGGTGGGGCCAGATCATGTAGGGCCCCAGAAGCCAGGGAAAAAAGTGAGCTCAGTGAGGACTTGAAATGGGGCAGATAGTATGTAATGTGAGATGCAAAGGTGTATAAGATGATGTCCCTGTTCTCAAGATGCTCACCGCCCACAAGGGCAGTTAAGACTCATCCACAAAGAACCACAGTAACAGCCATACATGGTTGGCATCCCATAAGGGCTGCACACAGCAGAGGGAAACTGAGTTATTTACCCTGGCTCTCTGTGCTTTGGTTAGTAGAGAAGAGGAGGAAGAAAATGTTTTGGTAAAAATTAACCAAAGATTTTCTCAGAAATTGTTTTAAACAGAGAAGTGTTATATTTAGAATGGTATTTTCTTTAATGGTCTCCAGTCCAAGGATTCCTGTTGAATAGTGAGACTTTTTTGCATTTCTGCAATGAAGGTGTAATTGCTATGACATTTTAGATATTTTCAGGTTGTCTGAGTAAACTGGGAGAGAGAATCAGTCAGAGCCATTTCCTGGGCACTGAGAAATGTGCATATATGTGTGCAATCAATTCGCGGAGGCTTACTAACCATTCCCTCAATTTAATGGACTAATGTGTCCCAAACGAATTATGTATTTTGATTTTCTTTTTACTTCAACACTTAAAAAAAGAAGAAACATTTATCATAGTAGTAAAATATTTATGTCAGAGTCAGAACTCTTAGGATAAATACGAGTTAGAACCAGATGTGCATCTATCAGCAGCACTGAAATAGCTCCCCAAAAGAGTTTCTGCTTAAACAGAAAAATAAACCATAAAAATATTAGATTAATAATAGCTGATGGCCCTTTTGATTTAGAAAAAAGTTTTATTAATTAAAAAAGTGCCATATTTAATTAATATTTAATTAGTGTTATTTGAATGTTTCTGGTTAATTCAGTAATTATTCTAATGTGGGCCTGTATTCATAAGATGTGGTTTTCATTTGTTAGACATGTTCTAAGAAGTTTGTAGTTAGTGGGACATTCCAATAGTAAAGTATTTTCCTTAGTGTCCATGATGCCAGAGAGACATTTTTAGCTAAGAATTTTATAGTAATTGATTTTTTTTTGAAAACTTGCTAATCTGTTGGTTTGTTTTTGAAGGATTTTGCAAATACCATCCCTGGGCATGGCGGGATAATGGACAGATTTGATTGTCAGTATTTGATGGCAACATTTGTACATGTCTACATCACAAGTTTTATAAGGTACTTTTAGATTAAAAAAATGTTTTCATACTTGGTTTCTTGAATCTCTCATTCCTGTATATGCTGAGTAATGTTCAAGGCATGAATATAGCTAAGAGGAAAACAAACCAAGTCCCTGCCCTCAGAGCTTACATTCTTATTGGAGAGTTGGAGCGAGAAGGGGCAGAAGTGGACAATAAACAAATAAATATAGCTTGTTATGTGGTTACAAGTGCCACAGAGAAAAATAAAACCAGCCAGGGGATAATGGTTGTGTGGGTGGAGGGGTATTGCCATTTCCTATAGGGTGGTTTCTTCTTGTCTTTAAAACTTAATATTTTAGGTCTGCCCTGAAATGCCCCTTTGGGGTATGAAAGCTAACCACATGTTAACTTCATTTTCTGTGTTTTCTGCTAGTGCCTAAAAAGCCATGGATTTCCTTCATAGACTCATTTGGAATGAAACCCATATTTATATATCCCTAAATACACATTTTAAATACATACCCATAACAGCATAAGAATTTTCGTATTAAAACTTCTTATTTTCCCTGAATAGTGTTTTTAGGAATTTATATATTTTTGAGTAGTTGTTAGTTTATCTATTTCATTAATCTTTTCAAAGAGTCAAATTCTGGCATTGTGAACTTTATTATATATTTTTCATCTTTCATTCCTTATCTTTCTTTAGGTTCAGTTTGCTCTTCCTTCTCAAGATTCTAGAGATAAAGCTTACATAATTGATTTTCAGCATTCTTGTCTAATACATTCACCTACGATTTAAATTTCCTCTAAAGTACTGCTTTATTCTCATCCTAGATGTTGTATTTGTATTTTCATTATTCCATTACAAATGTTTTCTGATTTCCAGTATTATATCTTCCTTGACATTTGGATTATTTAGAAGTGTATTGATTCATTTCCAAACATACGGAGATTTTTCTCATTCTCCTTCCTTTGTTGAGTTTTGCCTTAATTCCACGATTGTCAGAAAACATACTCTATTACTTCAGTATTTAACATTAGTTGAGACTTGCTTTATACATCAGTATATTGTCTATTCAGGAACTTGTTCTGTGCACACGGGAAACGAATATGCATTCTGTGTTTCTGGTCAGCTTGTCATATGTGTCAGTTGGGTGAAGTTTAGCAAAATCTGTGCTGATCTTGTGGGGTTTTTTTCTGTCCTCTTATTCTCTCAGTTTCAAAGAGAGAGCTTTGTCAAAAACTCTCCCACAATAATTGTAAATTTACCTATTTCTACTTTCAATTGTTTTTCCTTTATATATTTTGAGTTCGTATTAAATATTATACACATTTAGGCTTGTCATATCTCCCTGTTGAATCACTCTGAATGTCATTATAAAATGTCCACCTTTATAAACTTAAAACTATTTTGTTGGCTATTAGAGTAGCTACATCAGCCTCTTTTGGTCAGTGTTTGCATATATTTCTTTGTCCATCATTTTATTTTTTTAGCATCCTTTTATCCTTATATCGAAAGTACGTTTTTCTTTTCTCTTCTAGCAGGCATACAGCTGTATTTTGTTTGTTTTTTTATAACCCAGTTGACAATCTTTATCTTTTTATTTGGAGTATTCAGTCTATTTCTGCTATGTATTTTTTATTTTATTTTAAATATATTTTAACTGATACATCTGAGTATTAGTCGTTAGTGGTTAAGCCCTCAGGACTTTGTTCTCAGCAGATGTCGGCTTTGAGGGCATTAACTTATACCCCTCCCCACCCACCCCTCCCTGCCGCTCCCTTCCTCTTCTCTGCACTCCTCTCCTCTCCTCTCCTTGAACCTTCGTTTCTCCCAGGAGAGAGAAGTCATGCTGAGCCATGTTGTGTGCCATTTGAAAGCAAATACTTAGACTATTAGAGGTACAGTGCTAGCGCCAGGATGCAGCCAGCTGGGAGCACCTGCTGACAATTTTGCATTTAGCTGAACTTGCTAGAAAAGCCTTCCTTTTTTCTGTGGGCCTTTACTGACGATTTATCTTATGAAGTTGCTGGATCTTTTGAAGAAATATTAGACAGGCTGTGTCCTGACTTGAGAAGACTGGGGCTATGAAAGACACATGGTTGCAGTTTCCCGGCATCTGCAGGAAGGTGGCCCCTGGGAAGGCTGTATCCGAGTACTGTGCGACTTTTGAAATCCAGTATTCTCCTTGTGAGATCATTATGTAGCAGGCATTTCTTTTTTTGTTAGGTCATCTACTTCCCATTATTCCATTTGAACCGAACAGTTATTATAAGTCATAAATTTAATTACCCCTGTAAATGCCTTTCTCTGTACCATTCTGCAAATGTTACTTATGTCTTTTTCCCATTGGATTTTACAAGCTGCTCTTCACAAAAAAAGTAAACCATACTCTTCTATTCAAGTGGACTGTAGAAATGTCAAAGGATAATACACATACATTGAAATCTGAATTAGGTTCATGCTGAATTTGACAAAAATAGCACTTCAGAAGATCATACAAGTGATCTCCAATTTATAAATGGAGACCCCAGGGGGCGTCACAGCAGGGAAAGGTTTGAGAGGGCAGGAGTCCTGCTCTGGCCTTTTCCGATACGGAGTGCACCAGTGAAGGGAGGAAAGACAAGGGCTGGAGCAGGAATACTGGAGAAGCTCACCCAAAGGGAGCCCTGTGCTGGCTGCAGAGAGTGCATCACATCACTGGCCTTGGACATTTCTATTCAACCTGGGCTCATATTCTCCCCACCAGGACTACTGGGGGCAGTGGGTGAAGAAAGCAGGGCTCTCCTCCTCCTTTCAATTAGAGCAGAGCCGCTGTTCTTTTGTTTCTTGTAGTGGAGTTTACCTAAGACTCTCTTTGAACAAAGGCTGCAGCACCTACTGGCAATGCCAGGTAGGAATTGAGGGCTAGGCTCAGAATCCATGTGTCCTGCCTCTCGAACCTTCATGGTTCCCTGGGGTATTTCTTCAACAAAATACCTTCCATTTTTGAAATTTCTTTTAAGCTAACAAGTGAAAAAATAATTTCATACCCCCCTCCCCCGGCCACCAGAAATTTCACTCCTTTCCTTACAGGACAGTTAATCTCAGGATTCGTTATCCATCCCCACCTCTAATTTGCAGGTTTCCCTTTTGAGGCTTTTTGTAGAGCTCAGATCTGCACCCCCTGGACTGCCTAACATTGTTCCTGGGTTTGTGCATTCTTACCATATCTAGACTGTGTGCCTCTGAATGGATAATCATTTGGATTTACCTTCCTGCTATTGACACTATCATTGGATATTAAAGTGAGCTCTATTATTAAATAAATAAATAAAGTAAAGTGAGCTCTGGATCAAGAGCTGTTTCAATTCTGTAAAGACTGATGATTCTCTAGAACTTAAATGTAGGATTAACTTTAAATTGTAGGTATATGCTTTCTTTGATTCTTTTAAAGTAGAATGAACTTTCTTTTTTGCTTTGTTATCAGGGGTCCAAATCCCAGCAAAGTGCTACAGCAGTTGTTGGTGCTTCAACCAGAACAACAGTTGAATATATATAAAACCCTGAAGACTCACCTCATTGAGAAAGGAATCCTGCAGCCCACCTTGAAGGCATAACTGGATCCAGAGAGGGAAAGGCTGAATCGACAATAAATAATTCTACAGAAAAGCTCTGACTGATGAAATTTTGTAAATGTCTGGAAAAAGGTTGAAAATGCAATAGATTGAAAACGTACAGATAATGAATGTTTTTCTTCTCTGAAATTACTGTGAATATTGAACAAATGTCTACTTGATCTAAGTTATGAAATATGTAGCAAATCATCACCAAAATATCCTGTACTTTTTCTAAGGTGTATTTTCTGATGTGAACTTCTTTTCCCTTACTTGCCATTTTCATAATTCAAAATACTTATTTTAAAGAGTCAAATACTATAAATTGAGTAAATTGAAGAGGTCTTAAGAGTGCTTCTGGTAATGTGCCCTTTGCACAAATATTTACTTTTGCACTTGGAGCTGCTTTCAACTTTAGCAGAATGTTTTACGTAAGGCACAATAGGAAGCTAGTTCTCCTCTTTTAGTTTGAAGTATTTTCTGAAGGGCTGAGTTGTATCCAAAAAAAAATGTCCACTTTTCAAAGTAAGTAATCATTTGCTGGAGGAAAACTTTCCACTTTCAGGTAGGTTTGAAATTCAAGAGAGATAAGCTGAAATTTCTAACTTTATTGGCTGACATCTAACTCTACTTCTGATAAAGTTATTTGCAAATGTAATATCGCAAAAACTTTTCAAGGGGAACAAAGGAGAACTCTGCTATGAAGAGCATAATGTGTGCATCCTCCGCAGATTACCAACAGAGGACGGTAGCTCAGGAGACACCATAAGACAAATGACATGTGGCACAGGCTACCTCTTGGGCAAGTTCTCCGCTTTTCCTTGTGAACTGGTTTCTGTAAGTTTTGTAGCCATGAGCACAAAAGATCAATGTATAGGGGAGTAAGTAGGGGTGTAGGTGAGGCAGAGAGGAGGGTGCTCGGCCTATTGAGTGACGCGTCTCTGGATAAGGCTCTGCATGTTGGTGTCCTGGGTGCTTCCCTCCCAGTTTCCTAGGCAGCCCATGGGACACTCACCTGGCAAGAAGGGAGACCCGCCTGGAGACCCAGCCTCAGACTCAGTCCGTGGTAGCAGCTAATCTCTGACTCCTTCCTCTTTCTCATCATGTTGTAAAACCTGAGGACATCAGCTGATGATATTTTTCTTCCAAGAATGAAAATCAAGCAGGAAGTGATGCCCACCAAGAACAAAAGCACACAAAGGCCAAATCTTGCTCTAATGGACTGGACACTGTAATGGGATGAGGACAAGTTTCTTAGCAGCGAATGTAAATAAGCTAATGTTGCTGTGTGCTCTTTATAACCATACTTACTGTGTTGAAGAGTCAGCAATAAACCTTTGAAAATTGCCTATTGTTCTTTAGCTAAATGTTCAGAGGAGAAATAGATATATTTTAAAGAATGTTTTATTAATGAAAAGAGTAAATATTTTTGTTTAAATCAGAAACAAATTTTAATTACTTTATATTTCTGTCCTACTACTTACTATACCTGCAATCAAAGATTGTAGCTATGCCTGGGTTCCACCATACTCCTGGGTTGTAACTATAACTAGCAACTTCATCATGTGCACTACATGATTATAGTAGAGAGTCAAACTCAGTACCAAGTTTGTTTTCTTGGTTTGGCATGCATTCACTCAATTAATCACAACTGGATGTATTTAGTCAGCATTATTTCACACTATTTCATAAAAACCTAGAATTGGCATCAGATATGTTATTACAAGAAGAAATGATCGCTTTTAAAATCAGGCTACCTACAAGTTAATTTTCAGCATCTCTCATCATTTGCCTCATAAAAGCTGTACATGTTGATTATAAAAGAATTTAGTATTCCAGATTTTAAAAGTAAAGTGAAATTTTTGTATGTAGCTCACGTTGAAAACTTGGTGATTTGCATAATAAGAACTCCTTGGAGATACACAGTTTCCTTGCATTTTCTTTAGCGTAATTGGTGAAACACTGCAATGCAGAATTATCAGAGAGCATCACTGAACACATGTATTATAAAATCAATAATATAATAAAATAAGCTAGAAATATTTGGGGTCACAGTAATATCTTTCCTCAGATATACTTTTAGAGTTGGGTGTACATTATTCTATATGTAAAAAAGTAAATTCTTTTAACAGAGCTCTAAAGTAACTTTTTAGTGTACTTTTATAACATGTATATTAAAATAGAAGATATTTTATCAAAACGTAGTCATAAAACCCTGACTTAGGTCCTTTTTATATTTGCACTGTGAAGAGGGTTTGAATTCTAGTATAGCAACAGAAAAATGGAAGACTAGGAACTTCCTTCAGAGTAAGGACTAGTTCCAAATTTGCTATTTTTGAAGGGACTCTACTGGTACTAATTGCTTAACTTTTTAATCTGTGGATGGAAATGTTTCCTCAGTGTTTTTCCTTTTGTGGTGGTGCATATACATTTACTCTCTGCAAATAAAAAGACCACACACACCCAACTTTTTTTTCCATTTACTTTGGTTTGAACAAAGATGGTATCACCTCATTCAGTGAAAGAAAAAGTCGAAACAATGTACATATATTGTATATGGAGATACCTTATGATATGTGTCAATCAGTTCTTGAATCTTTTACTGAAACATAGGAAAATAAAACAAGTAAATCACATTTTTACTTTGTTGTGATAATTTTCTTGTTGGAGAAGAAATGTTCAAGTGTTTACAAAATGATGATGGATAAATGTAAGTATTGTATATTGTGTATTTTCCATCACCAGCACCTACAGTGACATCTTCAGGGATGGGGATAACTGAGTTCTGGTGAGGACTGAATATGTGTGTTTGTCAAGAGGTGATGTCCTTGTAATAGAGTAAGTACTGATTTTTTAAAGATAATTTTGTTTTTTTAATTATATTTTATTGCTTATGCTATTACAGTTGTCCAATTTTTGCCCCTTGGCCCCCCTTCACCCAGCACCCCCACTCCCTCAGGCCATCCCCACATCATCGTTCATGTCCTTGGGTCACGTGTATAAGTTCTTTGGCTACTCCATTCCCTAGGCTGTACTTTACATCCCTGTGGCTATTCTGTAAAGAGTAAGTACTGAATTACTATGTCATTTGCCACAGTTTATACATGTTTACTTTTGTGACTCTGGTCCAGTCCTCCCTAGATCAGTCCAGTCCCACTAGAGCATTAAGTTTTGTGGATGCTGAATGGCACCTGTTTTGATTGGCCATTGCTTTCTCAGTGTCTGGCTGAATGCCAGCACTCCCTAGGCCCTCAAGCTTTGGAACAAACAAATGGGTTTGGAGTCGGAAGACTGAACTGTGCACATTCCCACCGTGTCTCTTGGATGGCCCTTCCCTGCCCAACCCATTTTTTTAAACAAAGCTTTGAGATTGGCTTCATTATTCCTAATTGCTGGGGTCACTTTAAGGGTTAAATAAAAACTTATGAGTGGGCCTTGATTTGCATCCAGCCTAGAGGAACTGATTAGGAATCTTGAGTTTCCTTTCTTGCTCTCTGCTCCTCTGTTTTTGCCCATCTGCTGTGGGAAGTGGCAGTTTGGTAGAACCGAACAGAAAGGTTGTCAACGGAGGGGATGTAATGGGGTACAGCCAGGACCCCCAAAGAGGTCTATAACTTGGAGTATCCTGGAAATATTAAAAATCTAGGACGACCTCACCCTCACAAATCTGAACCACAGGATGTGATGCAGGGAGCAGGGCGATTGAAAGTTATTTTGCATATCGACAGTTGTCCACCTTCACACCTGATATGCAGAAATGGTTATTGTACATATCTAAAACAGTTGACTAGCTTCATAGGTATGTTAAGTAGATGTGGCCATGCTTTGAGCCTAGGAGATGAGAGTGACTTCAACCCATGATGCAGCTTCCACTGGTTACAGAGCCTGTGTGGGAGCTTGGAGATGGTTGGCTCCACACCACAGAGCCACACCTGCCCAGACTCACTATGGCAGCCCAGAAAAGCTGGAAAAATATGGGAATGCCGGCAGGTGTAGGTGATTGTGGGAGGAATCAGAAATGGGGCTGCAGAGGAAGATTTGTGCCAGGATTTAAACCCAGGCATGGCAGCCATATGGGTGGACCACACAGGTTTGGGAGAACCACATGGTTTAGGGGCTCTCTTAATTATGCAGCCTAGGAAGCAGGAAAGCAAAATATAGCAACCATGCAGAACTCTCTCTTAGCAGTTAGGAAAAATCCAGGAAAGAGTTGCAGGAAGGTAAGGGGTGAAAGGACTCTTGCTGGTGGGCTATGAGAAGGTGCCCTGTGGTTTTGTATTAAAAACTGGAGATCTTGGTAACACAGCTGATGGTGCTGGGAACCACAGGAGGCCTGCCAGCCAAGCACGGATTACTGGGAAGAACCGGGGGCTACCCGAGCCACAGACTTCTATTTTTCCCTGAGATCTGGTATCCTTGACTAGGCAAAAGGGGGAAGGAAGAACCGTGTGTTCATGGGTGTTTTAAGGGACTTTGGAATTTTAACAGACATTAAGTCATTAAGTCTGTGTGACTTAAATAAATAGTTCCTTTCCTTTTCCCCAAACTCTGGCATTAAAAGCCATAATTCCTAAGGGCAGCGGGCAAGGCAAACCTAGTACGGGAGGACCCCGTGACAGAGGGGGATCCATTTGGTAATAGTATCTTGTCTCCTCCTCCATGGGTCCATTCTGTAACAGGGAGAACCTTGAATCATCAGGTAACACTGAGAGTCACTGAGTGAGGGTTGACAAATGGATAGTTATTTGATAGTGATAAAAGTAGTCTTCACCTGGAGCAGAGAAAATATAGTCTGGTTCTCTAAAGTGTACAAAGGACATGGATGGGTAAAGCAAGAGCCATGTTGCCCAGAGAGAAAATTATTGAGGGGCAGTCCAGCTGAAGGTATCTTAGCGAGTGAATGAAATCTCAAACTTACAGCCCAACAGGGTATGGGATTGGGAATTTAAGTCCTTAGACCCTCCTCTCCACTGTGCACTCAGCTGGGGTTTAAGGAATCCAGGTGGTTTTCTATTCAAGAATGTGCAATACCAAACTTCTGACACAACCTAGAAGAGTAATAATTTTGAAGAACATATCTGAATGATCAAGTATATTTTTATCAGTTTTCATAAATATCAAAATCTTATGAAGATAAACCAGAGGCTTCTCCTAGTATAGGTAAGACACATTTGAGGGATGAGTCCAAGATGGTGGCATAGGTAGCTGCTGAGCTTGCCCCCTCTCAGGGACACATCAAATGTATACCTATAGTTAAAGCAATTTCTCCTACAGACAACTGTGAGCCAATTGAACAGCTGCACAAGAAGCAAGAAAAAGGGATGCATACAGATGATCAGGAAACCACAAGAGCTCTCCAGGAGCTGAAGGAACAACCTAGAGCCAGAGGAGCAGGCAAGCACCATTCTTTACATTTCCCTGGCATATGGGTAATGGGCAGGATGCACATCCAGTTTCTCTTGCCAACCTGCAGGGCACTGTAGTGTGTCCCCAGCCACCCCTCTATAGCTAGAAACAGGAGGGAGCCATAGTGCATACAAGGCACCCCTCCACCTGAAAACATTCAGCAGGCACAGCAAGGTGCTGCTGTGTGCACAAGGCACTCCCAAGCTGGAGAGAATGTGGAACTAGAAAAATGCTGTGACACTAGCTTACAAGGGATACCCTGTCCAGAGAGTACAGAGATAATGGGGTCCTATGTGCTTATGTGGGGCTGATCCTCCTGGAGAGAGTGTGGAAATAGCAAAACTTTGCAGTACCCACATGAAGGGCTACCCCATGCAGAGTGGGTGGGGTATTGCTGTGTGTATGCAGGGTTGCCCTGTCTGGAGAGCATAAAAAACTATCCCAATACAGCTCAGCCTGCACTCAAGACTGCCCCACCCAGTGAAAAGGTAGAGCTGGTAGGATATTGAAAAGAAGGCACTCAGCATGGCCCTGCTCATAGCCTGTTCTGACTGGACATTTAAAGGAACAGAGCACTCACACAGGGCTGCTACTGTACACAGGGGCACAGCTGAATGCACAAGGAGCTGCACTGTCCAGATGGGGAGCAGAGCTGGTGGCATGTTGAGAGGCAAGCATGCAAAGCAACCCTACCCAGACCTTGTTCTGATCACAGATAGTTAAAGCAATAGAGTATGCCAAGGGTGAACCAAACAGCTATCTACATTAGGTAGTCTGACCCAGATTAGAGAGCAAGAAAGCACATGTACACCAGGTTGCTCCACCGAAAACAGACTCCTTAAAGCCAGGCTACAGAACAGGCAGCACACACAGCTGCCTCGGCTACAACTAACCTGCCAAACTATTCCCCCACTCTACACAGAGACCACTCTTTCAAGACT